ATTAGGAATCCATGTCACATTTCCTCTCAGTTATTCGTAATGTGCACCAGTCGCTTCTGTAAAAGTGACTTGTTTCTGTTCAAGAAGTAAAAATTGTCATACGCGGAGGTAATATAGAATTGTCGGTTGCTATGCTTTCGAATTTTACATTCGTATTTATTGTTCACTACATTTTATTTAAAGTTTCCTAATTCTGTTTTGAAACTTCACTGCTGGACAAGAAACACTTCCGCTCTCAAGAAGTACTAATTCTAGTCCTAATTTCGTCGGCATTTTAAGTTTGGTAGCATGACTACATTGCTACAGTCGTTATGAAATGTTACTCAGTACTGCCTCATTAGCTTTAGTGGTAGACTATAAGTCACTGGGTTCCGGATTAATAATTACAATAATGTATTTATTCTCACTGAGCTGCGCACGATATACGCCAGTTAACAGACATCAGCAATGTGGTACATTTAAATAAACTTTTAATTGCTCAAAATAGTTAACACAAATGAAAACTTGATACACCCCCAAAGCTAACAATAAATGACAGCACTAATGCTTGGGCACACTGGCACAGATCAGATATGCAAGATGCTAAAACTGAAGCCACGAAGGCAAAAGGTCCACTATCACGTCAACAAGACAATCGACACAAACACGGGTGGACCAGTGTGTAACAAAATCCACGGAAATGACCGACTACGTTAAAGGTCAACGGAAGATAAGCCTTATGCACCCATTTTTGGTCACTATTATTGCCTTGGGTCCTAACTTGAACAGAGGGTATCAACAGCATGTCTCCACTCTGCCATATTGTCTGGAGTCATCTGTGCGACTGGGTGTAAGCTGTTATCTCCTCATCACCGATCTCCTTCATGTCACCTTCGTACGCCCAACTTATCGCCCCTCGCTCAGGTCCCACTTGGGTGATGGCCTGGTATATGAAGTCACGCGACGATCTCCTCACTGTGAGTCTGATCTACCTCCATTTTCTTCGGCACATTAGCTGAGCGATACTGCTCTGACTGGTCTAGGCCAAGAATTTCTTTTTGCCGACTGTTTCTGGCACGCCATCTGATCTTCAGCATCAAGCCAGGGAAAGTCTGGGAAACTCGTTAGTTAGGTTGCTTGAATAATTTTGAACTCTTTCTAGTCGGTTCTGACTGGAAATAATGCCCACGACAGATATATGGATTCCTGCTAGGCCTGAGATTTAACCACACCAACTGCTCATTCTTCAGCCTGGCCCACCTCATCTGGAGGCCGAGCTGTTGACCAGTGAAAATTATACTTACCACCACGTCCTTCAATCCGCACTGATATACAAATTGACTGATGATGGTGAAACGGCTGAGGTCCAGTTCATTTGGCGAACTTCTTTGATCCCTTACAAATGCAGCTGCTGAAAAAATTACGCAGACTATTAGAAGTGCATTTTAAGACTCTGAGAGATTCTGACCTGTATAGAAGAATTGACTTAACAACGGTATTCAAAATCCGAATTTCGTTATTTGTGCTGAGTGCTGAAGATTTCCAAACTGATTTGAGAGTGATGAAGGTCTGTCTTATCTTTCCGACTTGTCTTGTCTCCGACATCGTGTGACCTTACGCATAAATCATCGACGAAATCCAGATCTCCAAGAACCTTCATACCAGTACAAAGTATTCCTATATTCTCGCTCCTCAGTCTGTCGTATGATCCGGACCACCACAATTAGGTATATCACCTGTGATAATAGGCAGACAGCCTTGTCTTAATTTGTATTCACTTCAAAGGCTTCGTTGGGTTTTCCATTGTGGACTAACAGACACTTGCTATTGTCATGTAGCCGTTGAATGAGGTTGATGAGGGTTTGCAAACTCCATAGTGTTGGGGCATTTTCCAAATTACTTGGTGGCCAACGCTGTCGAAGGGCTTTTCAAAGTCGATGAAGGCAAGGTTGAGCGGGTGTTGACTGCCATTCTATGCTCCGTTCGGTGATGACGCGTAGATTGGCGGCTCGATCAACACAAGAATTGTTTTTCCGAAATCTGGTTTATCCTGGACGGAGTTCTGTATTCAGGGCATCATTTATTCTGTCGAGAATGATGCGGCCTCAAATTTTGCTTGGCGTGGATAAGGGCAATATTCCTTGCCAGTTGCTACTTAGCCCCAAGCCCTCTTCTTTGTTAGCTGGACAAGGTAGCCATTCTTTCAGTCAGTAGGCACCTTTCCTCCCCTCCAAACTTTTCGTGATAGCGGCATGAGCATATCCTCTGCAGTCTCTGAGGCCGTTTTCGGATGAGGGAGAATTCTGTGTTGTCCTGCTACTTTACCGGTCTGTATTCAGTAGCCTGAATCGTATTCATGACTTGTGCTTTTGTTGGAGGACTGTTGTCCACTGGCAGGCAGTTGTGTGCTAGGTGTCGGTGGTATTTCTAAGCGAGTTGCAGACAGTTGTCGGTTAGGGAGTCCTCCGACTTGATTGGCCCAATATTTCCTCTGTCTCTCCACCTTGGTAATTAGGTTTCCTTAAACGTCTTTTATCGGTTTCATCTCTGCTGATCTCTTCCCAGATGGATTCTTGCTTATCTGATTTAATGTTCTCAGGTATCTTATACCTGCGGCTTGTTCTCCTTGAAATTCCAGTGTGCTGTAGAATCACCTTTCGTGTCTCCTAGATCTCTTCACTTCCTTACTGAGTGCTTTGTGCACTGAAATCAGCCTGTCCTTTCACAGCCAGTCTTTGCATTGGCTCATCTTCTGTTTCACTATCTCTCTCTCCTCTATTAGATTCTTCATGTTCACAGGGATCCATATGCTGCATTGCCTTTTCTTGCTTCATAGGATTATCATGCAGGTTTCCTTCCACTCTAGAGAATTTCAGTGTTTGTCCTCACAGGTTCCCTCAGTGATGTTAAGCAGGATATATGACTTTACAAATAAACTGTGTTTTGCAAATATATCCCTCATTCTGTGAGTGTTGAACTTGAGTTTTGACCTGTCTCCTGGTGTTTTGAAAGCTTTCATCTTGACCTTAAGGATTCACTGAACAAAGTTATGATCTGGGCTCACATCTGCTCCTCTTCTTTAGCGGGTCGCGCTTTCACTTCCTTAAGATTCAGAGGAATGAGTTTTGATTTTTGGTGTCTTTCAGGTGAAACCCATGCCATCTTACATATATCTTTTTGCCTGCACAAGCTATCTCCAATTAATAAATGCGCAGAAGTATGCAAAGAGCTCTCCGTTATCATTCACTTCGCCAAGAGTCTCTAAACATATGATTAATCCTATTCTAGTACTTTCCGCTCCCAATTCAGCACTCATTTCACCCATTAGGATTTTGATGTCGCCACTAGGGATCTCATCTGTTACTATTGGCAGTCGCCTATAAAAATTTTCGTTCTCGTTCTGATTTCTATGTAGAAGCGTAGCTTTCGAAAGTTGTAACGTTCCATCCTATTGAGTTGAATCTTGTTATCATAATCCTGGATTAGATTTGTTCAAATTTAGGGAGGGGCATTGGCCACTGTTGGTGACATCATGATAGCCACTCCCTCAGTGTGCTCAGGGTTGTCGTCTGGGTGACTGGAGTAGATTACTGAAAATCCAGTTAGCAAATTAGATGTTCCATATCCATCTCACCTGCTCTCGCAGACTCGTATTTTTTATTTTTTATATTTTTATTTTTATTACAGCTTCATGCCACACAGTGTTTTCAGTACAAGTATGGAATTTTCAACATGGATATCGGTTGCCCAAATTTTGCAGGTCGACCATAGATATCGAGTGTGCGTCGGCAGGGGATCGAACCCCGGACCATGTGCATGGTCGGCGAGAGTCCTAACCACTGTGCCATTGCTTTGTCAGCCTGGAAGGCCTTTCCAGCTCCGTACATTGTACGAGTGTTCTAGGTCCCAATGTTTATTTTTTACTTTCATCAAAAGTAGAGGCGTCAGCTGACTGGTTTCTCGAAAGTTGTTACTAGCCAGAGTCATTTTGCCTCTGCGACTCCAACGAAAAAGAAGTTCGTTTCTTGTACTTTTGTGTTTTCAATATTTCTCTTGTGCGCTGAAGTTTCTGTAGCATTTTGACTGGTTTTCCAGGGTAGGGTCACTAGCCTCAAGTCCAACCCTCCCTCTTTCCCCAAGCTTGGGACCAGCTATAAAACTATTTAACTAGTGAATTAGGTAAGGTTAATAAATCCATGGGGAATCCTGGATTCCCACCTGATTTTTAAGTTCGTGGTGAAGATATTTGGAAAGAAACTTAAACTCGAAAAAATAATCCATCTTAAGGTACACAATTATACCAATGCCTTCCTTTCTGTTTTGATTTTGAAGTAGTAGTTCAGTAGTTGTTGGAGCGCAAATTTGCTCTGTGTAGAGGATTTTCAGCTATGTAAGCATTGGTATGTATTCCACTTATAAGTAATTCAGAACTTTCCAGTGCCGAACGGGTGGGAAGTGACCTAATATACTTGAAATAATTTCTTATTCGCTCAGGGCAGTGGTACAAAACCGTTGTTGCTATAGATGAACCGTGGCGTCAAACGTATGATCGCGAAATTCGGTTGCAATGTTGACTGGGTTCAGATGGACCAAACATTCAGAGTAAGAGCATCACTTCCCGGGATAAACCTTCGCCAGCAAAATCTATTTTGAAACTGCTTTCGCGTTGCCTGAACCAAGTATCAACATTGTTATTCGCAATCCTATCTACTAACAGACTATTAAAGCCGGTGTAGCCTGGAATTATTCGACATTATACATTTTTGAATTCTCGAGGAGTTCCATAATTTTAATTTGCTGTTCCAGTAATCTATCCAACTTCAATGAGTTCAGTATTCTCACCTCCATGTCTATAATTTACCTAGATTTTTCGATTGATAATAAATTGCACGACTTGGTGATCATGGATGGAGAGAGTCAGGGAAGTCAGCTAGTAACGCTGCCTGAATGACTTGCAGAGACTTGAACGTCTTAGGGTGAATTTATGAACTATAGTGTGTTGAGAATTTATAGACACACGGGAGTGAGAATATACGTTATAGAGTGTTATATCTTACGCGCTTAAGGGCTTTCTCAGCTTTGATTGGCTAGTACAGTGGCGGAGAGTTTGACTTAAATTTGTCCTCGGTAGGTCATGCCGTGTGCAGGTTTTCGTGGTTGCGGCATGCGTTGTTTGCAAGCATGTTTGATGAATATAAATGTAAAATATTGGTATTCTAACGTTTTATTTTACTTATTTTGTGCATGTACCAGGCTTGGTTTATCATACATTCTGTTTGTTGGCCTATCGGTTGCTGGCGATGTCAAGGAATCCGTGAGTTCGAGGGCTTTTCTCGATTTTAGGTTATACATGTAGCATTTTATTGATGGATATTGCGACACAGATGGATGCTAATTGACAACGCCTTTTTAGTTTATTGCAGGTAGGCAATGCGGGTGAAAGTACTGCTGACGTCAGTGGAATTTTCGATGAAATTATGCTGGGAAGGCGTTTCTTTAGTTGGGAGGAATTTGAGAATTCCTTAGGAGAATTTCAACAAGTGAGGAAGTCATTTAATGCTAACAATGTAGTTGTCCTGCACTCACTATGTGCATATTCAAAGCAAAACAACAGGGGAAGACAGATATAAGTACGCTTACGTTTATTTTAAATGCACTTTTGGCGTGAACCGTGGAAAAGCTGGCCTGAAATTGCGAAACAAGTCGTAAGAGGAATTGTATTATGATAATATGTATGTTTAAGGTCTAAATGTTGCAACTGTCTGTCTGCATTTCGCGTAATTTTGCGTTATAGTGAATACGTGATAACATCCCACAAAATGGTCCACAACCATCCATGCACCAGGGTGTATATGCAGAATGATCCATGGTCTAGACGACTGTCAGCGGAAGAGAAAGAAAATATAGAACCACTTCTTCACCAATCACACTCATCAGATGAAATAATTATGCATGTTAAGGAAACATTCCACAAGGACATAACTCTTAATGACGTTAGAAATCTGAAAGCTTCAGTTAATAAAGGTAACGTTAATGTAAATGTAAACTACTTCAGGTATATCGAGCCGTTATGACATTTTTGAATTCCTAAAGTCCCGTGGGAAGTTATTGGAGTATTATGCAGATGAACCGATAAGGAATTCACTGATGAGAGTCTGTTTTTCTACTTATGAGCAAATAGATTTGTATAAACGTTTTCCGGAGGTTGTTGGCATCGATTCTACATATAACACAAATAAAGGGAAGTAAGTTTATTAATTAATTAATGAACATGCAGGTATTCTTTGTTTCAATTGGTTGTAACGGATAATTTTGGTCGTGGGAGACCGGTTCTATTTGCTTGGACGCGAAAGGAATTCAAGCGTGATGTTGTTTGGATTTTGGACTCGTTTCGTAGCATAATGGAAGACACCTCTAAAACAGAAACATTCATTATGGATTGTGCGCAAGCCGAAATAGGAGCAGTGAAGTTAACACACAGAGAAGCGCACATTGTTCTTTGTTCTTTTCATGTTTGTCGTGCATTTTGTCGTAAAGTAAATTATTTAAAAGCATAATTAAAATTTCAATTTTAGACGCGGAATCCCATTGTTAAGAACTACTTATGTCGCTTAATTCAGTGTAAAAGGAGATCTGAGTAATGCCTTTAATATTTTCATTTTTCCAGATTTAACTTCTATTTCAGAGTTATAAGCCGATTGGATGTTGGTGTCAGTCAGTATTTACAACGTCGTTGGATGAGTCGACGACACTTGTGGGCAGCAGCTTTCAGGGAACATGTACTGACTTTGGGTAATGATACCAACAATCGTGTAGAAAGTTCTCACAAGCAGATGAAGCGGTACTTGCTTAGATCAGATAGTCTGCATCAAAGCATGCTGAAGGTTCACAAATGGTTTCAACTTAGTAATTCTAGAATAGAGCAGGAGTCCATGATTGCTCAGTCGCGTTCCCTCAAGTATTCATGTTCCGAACGCATAATACCAATTTTACGCCACCTGACGCCATACACTGCGAAGAAAGTGATCGCTGATTATGCGAAGCGACGATGGACTTCTTTTCAGTTAGAAGGTTTTGATTATATCTTCTTGGATGACAATGGGAGACCAGTAGAGGTGGATCTGCGCGCATGCACATGTACTTGTATGACGTTCCAGACTTGTCGGTATCCCTGTCGACACTTGCTGATGGTGCATTTAAAAAAGGCGTGTTTCACAGGTAAAATACCCTTTTTTGAAACTTGTATATTCATTTACACGTAAGATATACTAGGTTGCCACCTGAAGTATTCCCTATTTTATGTCTCCATAGTTAATGCATATTAACCTACTCCTAAGTGACTGAAATTCGTAGATACTAAAATGTATATATATTTCATAAGGGTTTGTCTTAATTGAAAACAGGACCTAAGCACTGTCATTATTTATCCTTTAATATTGCGTGCATAATTCTATTTCCGTTTACCGTTACACCTTTTGTAGTTAATCATGTGCTGCAGAACTGTAAACGATGGACATGGTCTCGCCAATCGTACGCAATTCCAAGCACGTCAGCAATTGTGCCGCTAAATCAATGTGACTTATACGTAACCAATAGGAGGCTTATTAATGCGGGCCTGACGAGAATTTGCGACAAATATGGACGGAGGTTTGCCGCAGAGTTCGCTGGACAAGTAGTCGCTCAAATCAACAATGTTCTTGATGTGTAAATTAAATACTTTCGTATTACAATAATAATAAACTTTTCGTATTAAGATTGTTGCCTTTCTGTTAGTGTGTTCGCGTTGGGAGTACGGCATGCTAGACCGGTGCTCCCTAGGATATGAATTCCTTACTATACGTAAGTGCTAATCTGTAGGAACACTTTCCACCGATATAAGTCGTGAATTATAAGTACTTCAGTCACGTCGAAAAAAATTTGAGATTACGTCTCCTAGTCATAGATAAATCTGTAGGGACTAATTACAAAAATACCTAACTTCAGTGTTTGACAAATAAGAATAGAACTTAGGGCCCTGCAGTTGACTTCGATTTCGTATGAAGTTAAGTGTAATCAAAAGCACTGTATTACTACTATTTCACTTAAAGCAAGATGTCAATCAATATGACTACGGGTGTTAACATACAGTGTAAACTGAAGTCTACACGAGAGGAATAATTTAATAGGTTGGGCTGTAGCAATGTTAGTAAGATATCGCCGACGTTGAATTATGACTACAATTAGTTTCTCAGGCCTACATCTCGTCATAATGACAAATTTAGTTTCACTGAGATAGAATAAGAAAAGTATGGTAAGCAGGATGTTAAATATATTTCATGAAAAATATTAAGCGAATGTCTTCACACAATTGTTTTTCGTAATTACTGCGAGGATGCGTAATTGCTGTGACCTGGTTGACTGACTTGACCGAACATCTACAAGTAAATAATAAGGTATAATTTTTAAATCGTTGAAGTTAGAAATAAGTAATGTAAAAGTGAAACGCTTCATATTCTCCTACCTTTGCTGAAAAAAGGTTCATTGTCCTTTCTCATTCTTTGGTCATGACAGCATTCTTCTGCGGTTTTCACTGTGACATACATTGTTCTTCTTCTAAAGTATAGCACCAAGCAAATAATACCTTAATATACTGTATAAATGGGTGTTTACAAGGAATGCATGACATCTCTACAGGTACAATAAGTTAGGCTATAAATTACAATCGTGAAGTATCGTAAATTAAAACTTTTTCAAAAGCTTACATTGTTCATTTATTGCACAAGCAATTACAACAGATTAAAATAAGAGTTAAACTCCGGACCCTTTACAATGAACACTGCATATATATCGGTAAGTGCTATTCCCTCACACAATTAAAAGGTATTCCAGGAGGAGAACAGCATCCTGAGAAACTGCAGTACTGTTTTCTAGCTATTCCGAAAATATTCCTTTGATGCTGTTTCTTAGCAACAGTTTGCAGTATTCATAGTGACTTTAGAGAAAACTTTATCATATCTTCACTTTCCCTTCAAGTACAATAGCATGCAGTAACTACATACACACAAGCATTGTAACTTAAACATCACAAAATCCCTACAGATAACTTGTTTCATAGTAAATGCTTTTGAAACATGAGCCATAAGTACACCTTCCATGTCATTCATAGTCACAAGTAATTCATTAAGCATCTCAGAATATGTTAGTGATGTGAACATGAAAAATTCGTAAGACTGATATAACTGAAGTAACACGTTTAGTAGTTGTAGGACATACCTGCGAGCTACTATTCTACAGAAAGGTGATTCGAATTTGAAGCAGTCTGGCATTGTAGAAGCACCATGTATACTATTCTTCTGGCACAAATGCACAATGATATCGAGATAATCTGATGCAATGTAATGCACTCAGCAATTACGGTCTCCCGAATTTCTATGTGACAATGTAAATTAAACTAGTATCACATCTTCAACTGAGCCATTTAAAATAGGAACTTCAGAGAAATGGATAAAATCACCAGGAAATTCAGCAAATTGCCTCATTCATCGCATACTCTCTTCGATGTGTTATGGAATATTTCAATCATCACGGATGATGATAAAAAAGTGTTTGGTATCCTCAAAACGTATATTTCACTTGTGTCTGTGGGCTAGTTCTCCTTCAAATGTCTCCTTATCATAGAATAACTGCTATGAAAACAACCATTGTATACACCTAATTTTCAACCTATATTTCCTCAAAAACCTAGCAATTAATAGACCATTAAGGCTCTAAAACGCGAAGAATAGTCTTTTTTTGCTAAATTTCTTATATACGATGAGGTATTGAAGTAATACATACTCTGCGATATCATGACAGGTTCTTCCATTAATACGAACAAAATACTGGAAAATGTTGCTTTTTCGGTTATATAAGCCTGAAACCAGTTATATATTATCTACTTTCAAAAAAGTAAACGCTTATAACGCCTCTATACGCGTGAACACGATAACCCATACATTCCGCGATAATATATCACTATAACGTTTATTGCCACTCGAGAATTGTACCGTACATGTTTGAAAACGACGCTTCATCTTAGGATGAACCAAACCACTTTCAATGCTCTACCTCCCTTAGTAGTGAGATTCGATATCAGATGTGTGTAGCGATAGGTAATTCCACAGAATTGTTGGCCGCAGCATTCACCACTGAACATTGGATGCTGATCCTCACTGTCTGAATCGATTTGTTTAGCTGAAGGTTTACGGTCAAGCATCCACACCATTTGGCACGCCGTTCATTTGTTCGTTTATGATTCCTAGCTAGTTAAGCAGTCATCTCGCCCTCCAATTCATAATTTTGCCGATCAATTCTGTTGTTTTGCTTTGCCTTTGGTCTACGTGGAACGGATACTGTAGAAGTTGTGGGTATTGGATCTTGCATCAGTACTCTTCGTATTGTCTGTGAACGTCAACACCCTCAGCCTCTAAAAATCTGGCGGTCTCCATATTTGTGTCATCCCTATCGATCCACTCACATTACAGTTCAGAAATTCTTAGAGAAGTGAGCTGTTATGGCGTTCACATACACAATAGTGACTTACTCTATTCTGGTTCGCTATTAGTCTGGTAACACTATGAGCGTGAAATAGAAAAGTAGAAGTTGTCAGGTGAGCTGACAAAAAGAATTTATAAATGGTATATTGTGTGACGTCTACTGAAAAAACCCAGATAGCTGAGCTACGAATTCAGTAGCGATTGGCAGTAATAAAGATCCCTGTTATCTAGATGAAGCTGAAATTTCTGGTACTGCCCGCGAAATATGTGTATTATAGTGAGACTGATTAAAAACTACTCAACGTCAGGAACTGGATCATGCCCTAGAACACGGTGATTAGACCGGTTATTAACGGAATGGAAATAAGTCTACCTAATGAAAATAGGGGAGTTAATCATGCTTCACAGGTAGAAGAATCGTTGAAGATTGAATACCTGAGGAGTTTCAACTTAGTGAATAACTACCGGGAGTTGGTTGGCAGTGATATCTCAGTACCCACGCCATATGATGATACAAGAATGTCATCGGCTGGCAGATAAAAGTGTGACCTGAACAACCGATTTCTTTTGATAGAACGTCTACCAGCCACATGTGAGTGACATTGCTATATAATTACCGGGCTGTCATCAGCATTATTTGGTGACAGGGAATCAGTGTATGCAACCTTCTATGCAGTCGATCTCAGTCACAGTACTTGGGAATTCTTAGTTCACGGATGTAATGGAACCTTCCTCATAGACACCAGGTAGCACTAATATCATGTTGGTGATAACACAACACTCTATACGATAGCAGATACCCTTGGGACTTCGGGTCAGTGAGCAGATCTGTGAATGAGGCAATGACTCGACATATATGTGCAGACCACAAAGTACCAAAGATGACATTTTGAAGGGTATCCGCCCTGCTTTCAACAACTAGATATCACGAGGATTTAAACGACACCAAATCATCCACAAAATAATGGTTTGACAGAGGGAAATAACTGCAAACTGAAGATGTGGCTGGCCTCGAAGGGAAGTGGCTATCAGAGAGAATTTCAATTCATCCTACTGGCATATTTTGTCCCCACCAGGAAAACAACCAAGACGCTCTCTCAGTTAACGTCCAGGAAACCAGTTAGTTAGGCTGTCTGAACGACTTCAAGCCCGCTTCCGGTTGACGTTTACTCTCAAGATTGTTGTGTGTGCATTTATCCTGCCAGACATCAGCTTTGGCCACGCTACATGTGAACTCCGTAGCCTGGTTCACTTAACCAGATGTCCAGATGGTTCTTAACACCAAGAAAAGACCTTCCAATGTTGAAAAGACTGTAGTGCGCCTTGAACCTTTGAATTTTTGTTTTAACGCATTCACCCACTTTTGGTGCCACACCATCTTGTGACTTCCTATATGACTGTACACACGTGGTTCGCTTCCTTGTTGTGCTATCATTCGGCGCACTCTCCGAGGTTATTACCCAGTCGAGGCATCAGACAAGTTGTGTAGCATCCTTATTTATTAAAATTGATATTTCATTTGTGTAAAATACGACTCTCTTCAAGACACACTTCCAGTCTCAAGTCTTTTAACTTTGATTTCGTTAATCAGTACTTACACGCCAGGTAGAGTAATCATAAGGTTATTAGGCGGTGAAGTATTTAGTAAGTGCGGTTATTTGAGGTCTATCTTACATATAACCCAACACTTACAGGACCATGCAGTCTAACCGAAAGACGTCCTGCTGTTGACGCCATAAACATACAAACAGAAATGTGTTAATGACAGTCTAATTTGCACATGGATTGCATTAGGATAAGCATATTGGCACTGATACATGGGGAAAGCTAATGGCACTAAGCAGATCTGTGGTGCGGAGTCCAATGTTTAAAGACTTTGTTTTAATGTGCGTATATCCAAACTGGCTCCAAAGCCATTCCGCCCTTTTCTGTCGCACAGTCTTTACGCACATCTCTTGGGTTTGTAATATAACCATATTCATTATTGATATAAGTATAAAACTTGGGCACTGTGGTAGCGCATAACTCCATAATGAATATGGATAATCATATCAAGTCGATATGATTATGAGCAATAGTTTGTGCTCGAAACGTCATCAGTCAATATTACTGTGCAACACTGTGTGATTTATCAAAATAAAATCTTGTCCGTAATGGAGTTATGACCATATTCGTTAGATAAGTCCTAGACCTTTCTCTTCGGACAATCTGGCGAAGTTAAGATTTCACGCCTAAGAGGTGCGAACGCTTAAATGACCTTGAATGCATGCTAGCCACTGGATAACGGGACCTGTCATCATCACAGAGCCAATGTGAATGCTATTCACCGACTAAAGAGCAAATTTCATCCAGACCACATTTTCAAGTCCTGTTCGGACAATGTGCTAATATCTCGTTAGGGTTAACAAATGACCAGAATCACCCAGTGAGTAGGTATAGGCTTCCTCTTGGAAATCCCAGAAGGATAGCTTACCGGAGGGCAAGGACCCGGGTGCAGTCCCACTTCTTTTCACTGCGGGTTTACCGTCCCTAGAATTCCTTACCGGCAGATGTAGCTATGGCACCGTCTGTGGACGCCTTTAAGCGAAGGCTGGACAGTCATGCAGTGACACAAGGACTGCGTCCAAATGGCCTATCCCCTTAAAATCCCATACACCATTCGGGGGTAGACAACTAAGTTCGTCTTTTTACTTCTTTACATTCTCTCCCGTCTTACTCGCCTGACAACTCTAACTACACTTATTATTGTTATTACCGATATATATATATCAACTTCAAATTTAATCAGCTGTCTGTTTCTACGTTTTCTTTATTTCTTTTTCTGTCTTTTAGTCTGAATAACTTCACTAATTATATCTATTATTATCTCTTTTCTTTTGACGACGATACCGGAGGACTAACTGGTGAAAGGATCAGCTCCATTCACAGTGGCGACACAGTCTTAACACACCTCATACTACAAACCACATATAATTAATCCCAGCACTACTCCTTTTGGAGTCAACCAAAGCTACGACAGTCGAGTGGCGGGACGAGCTACGCAGACGTTTACTGAAGATCAGGAACCTATACCTCACAATCAAGAGGCGAGCACAAAGAAATCAAATTGGTTTATACTAGCTCGTAAAAGCGATACTGGATATTTGATGATCAAGGGAAGGTATTGGGGTTAACGTTAGGATTTAGGTTGGGATAAGGATTATAATATGTTAGGGCTGGAGTTAAGTTCAGGGTTGGAGTAGCGATTACGGTTAGGTTTAGGTCTGGTATTATTTATTTTAATTTGTATTGTCCACACTTTCCTTTAAAGTAGTCGTCAACCCTCTGACTAGAAACCATAATAATTCAACTGGGGGTTTTTGGGGAAAACTGCAACGCAGGGAAACAGCGATAAATTGGTCACAAAAAAGTTCGCCTCCAGTCACCTCGTTAAATACACGTACAGAAACTGGTCTAACTTGAAGACTGTTTCTCCTCATTATAACTGGGACGTACTTTTTAGTCATGCCAGAGAAAGATACCGTGTATAATGTGTTTTCATATGTTTGCTTGTGAATAAAGGACATTTTTGCGTAAAAATCATCTATTTTTAAGACTAACCTGCTCAAGGTCACTTGTGCATTTGCATCCCCCGGGACGTGATATTCTAACTTTGCCTATAGTCTTAACCTTTTATTTTACTCAAATATACGGCGCACTTGATCACTTTCTCCTCAATAACCAAGTCTTTTTAATTTGCTTTTTGTCGTCAGTACTTACAGGTTAGGTGGAGTACTGTATTATTGGGTACACTGGTAAATTACGTTAAGTAAAGGCTAGTAAAGTGTAGGATAGCACTGCCAGTAACTTACAAATGGTGGTCCTGAGTCTCATTCTTCGTCACAGCTTAAGCCCAGTTTGTCTGCAGTCTGATTTTATCTAGTAGTTGCTTTGTTTTACTATTGCATAGTGAGTTGTTTTTATTTTTACTTGAGGTTGTGTACTATTTTGTACTTGTGAGATCTTTTTATTGTTTCGTATCATATACCTTATCTAGCCATGGGTGAAAACGACCGTCCTGTGCAGGTGGCAGTTACGCCACAACTCACCATCTCCATGATTCTCACATGGTGAAGCCTGGTTCGCTTTGCGGCATATTCATTTTCAAGAAACTGAAGCCATCCTAGTAACTGTGAATACCCCTGAAAACATCATGAAGGGCGTTCATTGGCAGTCATAACCCCCTATGAATGCTAGTTCCTGATTTCAAAATTGACGGAACCTTTCTAAAACAATTTTGGCTGCAAAGGCTACCTCAGAAAATGCAAGGAATTCTTGCATCCTTCTATAATTTACCTTTGACAGAATTAGCAGAGTCAGCTGACAAAGGCGTCGAAGCTATCAGACCATTCACAAGCATTTCTGCTATCTTATTCACCAATTCTCAGAACTATCTCCATCCAACGAGTGACCTGTCCAGTTTCGACATGAAACATATGTATCAAAAGTTGTGTAGTCTTAGG